CAGCTGGCTCCTTATAATTCGGAGATGTGTCAGCTGGAGGGATGGACTTGTTGCAGGGTGGGCAGGGCAGATGCTGGGGAAAGTGAACTGTAGGCTTTGAGTTGGGAATGTGGGAAAGGGATGAAGTCTAGGGGAGGCTGAGAGCATGAGAACCCGCTGTGGGAGCTGGGAATTTAGGGACTAGGACTTGGTTAGGGCTGACTGATTGCCCAGAGGGATAATGTCCTCCCCCTCCTTCTTTCCAGTAGTGAACCAGATGTCCCTAAGCCGCCTCCATCCCCTGTTACCCATACACCTAAGGAGGGAGAGACACCACCAGTACCTGCAACTCTCCCCGCTCCTTGTGCTGTTCTTTCCTCTCTGGGTTCTACAGCTGCTCTGACATCAGATGCTGAGGTACAGCTGGAACTCAGCAGGACCCCTCAGGGCTCTGTAGAGCTGCAGATGACCGAGTCTCTGGACAGGTAACCTGATGGCTGAGACAGGGAGGGCAGGGGTGCCCTGGGATGTGTCACTCTTGAGGTGCTTGGCTGCTTCTTTGCTCTCCATAGGCCTGGGAGTTGGGCCCAGTCTGATCCGAACCCGACCTGGGATGAGGACACTGCCCAGATTGGGCTCAGGAGAATTAGGTAGGACTGGGGAGATCGGAATGTGGTATGGGGGAGGTCAGGAGTGAGGCAGAGCAGGCAGGAGTCCTGCTCCCATTCTCCCCACAGAAAAGCTGCTAAAAGAGAGCTGATGCCCTGCGACTTCCCTGGCTGTGGAAGGATCTTCTCCAACCGGCAGTATTTGAATGTGAGGGACACAAGCCGAGGCCTGCGTGACCACTGGGGTTGGGGATGGGGTGGAGAAAAGATACTCCTGGGCTGAGGTCTAGATATAACTTAGTTGTAGTGCAGTTGTCTAGCATGTGCCAGGTAGCACACACAGCTTTTGGTGTAGAGGGAAAGGCCCATGCTCCACAGTTAGTAAGGGCTTCTGGCCCCAAGTATAGGGAGGGCCAGAGAGATGGTGAGGTGTAGGTGGACAGGGTGTACCTGAGAAGGGCACCTGCAGGTCAGACTTGAGCCTCTTATGTGGGGGACTGCAGCAGCTGCTGCCATTAACAATGGGGACAAAGGACTAGAATGCGGAAGGCATCCAGGACTGCATAAGCTAGGATGAGACTAGATCACATAAGGACTTGCTCATTGGGAAGTTCAGTTCAAAGCACCATCTGCCAGGTTGGGATGTAGCTCAGTGGTAGAGCACCAACCTGTCATATGCCAGGTCCTGGATCGGAACCCCAAACTGAAAAAAGAAAGTAGAAAACAAGAACTCCCTCCCCCAAACCCAAAAGAACCCTTTTCCCTCAACAGTGCTCTACTTTGAGAGCCTATGAAGCCTGTGTATTTTCAAAGCAGGTTTAGGAGAAAACCTCACATTGGTATGTATAAATAGCAGTAGCCAGAGACTGCAGCACATATCAATGTGGGTCATCATATTCCCTGACAGACAAGGTAAGACAGATAAACCATGAGTGTCACTCAGAATTTCATTTTGTGCAGGCAACTCTGTGGACATTGCAATAATGATGTGTAAGGAAGTGAGTGGGTGGGCATCCCGAGGGAGCAGGTGAGGGCAGTTAGTGGTCAGGGTGGAAGGATAGTTGCTACTTAGGGCATCGGTAAGGTGGTGGCCCAGACAATGACAGAACTGTGATAGGGAAACAAGGGTGGAAGAGGAGCCTGCCTGCCCACCCAGCTCAAGTCAGTCTCCCTGTGGAGGCAGCCATCCTTTTGCCTCGTCTCGTCACCCATTCTTAGCACCACAAGAAGTACCAGCACATCCACCAGAAGTCGTTCTGTTGCCCCGAGCCAGCTTGTGGCAAGTCCTTCAACTTTAAAAAGCACCTGAAGGAGCATGTGAAGCTGCACAGTGGTGAGTGCTGGACCCCTTCAGCTCCCTGGGGAGGATGGCATTCCTTAGTCCCTGTGTGCCATTGGCCCTTGCCTGCTTGAGACTGTTGTGAAATGTCTACTCTAGTCATGTAGGACCATGAAGACATAAGAAAGAAGGGGAAAATGGAGAGCAGGAAGGGCAAGTTGTTTCTGTGGTCAAAGCTTTGCAGCAAGACCTGAATGAAGTGAGGAAGAGAGGGCAGCACATGTGGGAAGCATCCATGTGTTCCAGGAATGGAGAGGAGGCCTTGTGGCTTCTACTTTGGGATGAGTCCATTGTGAGTTCTCCCAAGGTAGGGAGATAGCTGACTTTCAGAGAAGACTGTAGCAGCTATGTGGAGAATCCAGGATTGTAGATGAGTAGAGATGGGTGCACACTGATGGTGATGGCTTGGGTTTGTCCATTATAGTTGGTGAGCAATTCCTGAGGCTCTCACAGGAGTGCAAAAGGGCTGTGTGAGAAAGATGGGTGAGCCTGGTGGGACTGGCAGGGGAGAGGGTGACTAAGAAGATTCTGGCCTGGGCAGCTGGGTAAAAGGTGATGATGAATCCCTGAAAGCAAACAAGGGACTGGTGGGTAGCAATCTGGGTTAATATATGTTAATTAGATGTCAAGATGTAAGCATGAGATGTGCAGAATGAGCAGAAATCTGTTATGAGTATGTGGGTAGTGTTTGGAGCCATGGGGCTGGAGTGTGCCTGTATAGGGAGGGAGGGAAGTCTGACATGGTACATCTGCCTTCGGAGCGTAGAGGGGGAAGGTGGCAAAGAAAGTGGCAGAGCAGAAACTGCTCAAGGAAGGAGGGAGAACAGGATGACAAAAGCTGCAGGCCAAGGAGGGAGTGGGGCCTAGATAACAAGACAGTGCAACAAGAGCTCTGCTCTGGGGATGACACTAGAAGTGGTGGAGAGAGCAGTTGCCTTTGATGAGTTCTACAATGGACAGAAGCCATTGTAGAACTCATCAATAAAAGGAAAGGCCATGGCGAGGGTTGAGTATTTATGCCCAGTCTTACACAGGACAAGGGTTAGGTTTGGCCTGAGTAGGACTTTCACCAAACAAGTACCGCTGAGGGACAGGACAGATTGGTAATGTGAAAGAAGGCTATAAAGACAGCTGTGAAAACAGCAGAGAGGGGCAGGGGCTGTGAGAAGGTAGGAGGGATGATGGTGACCTGGAATCATCAGATTGTCACACTGGACAAGGCGGGAGGACCTGGTTGGCGCTAGGATGCTTGAAATGTTTGGGGTGGCACGGTACTTAAGAGTGACGTCTGAGCAGAGCGGAGGATAGACAAGGGTTCAGTATTGCTGTATGACAGCAGATAAAGGAGAGGATTTGAAGCCAGAGCTTGTGTTGGGAGGCGCAGCGATGGAGGAAAGAGTCTGCAGGTGATGGCCAGGTCTTCAGAGAGCTGTGAGACAGCCATAAGATGCAAGGTGTTTCTGCTGTAGGCATTTAGGTTTAGTGGCAGAGGAGAGGAACTACAGCAGCCTGAGAGGTGTCGGTCAGTAACAATGGTGACACCAAGTGCTGCTGGAATTAGCAAGTTCAGTAAAAGGAAGACTGATCACTTGTAGACATGGCACTGGGGATGGCAGGTACAACATGCCTCTGGAAGATTTCCAGTCCTGGGTATGTGCCTGCTACTTGGCACTTCCTATACATAGGCCTCCAGCTCTCCAGTAATTACTCCTTTGACAAAGATGCAGCCCAAGGCCCCAGATAGGGGAGGTATGCCTGTGCCTAGGAGACAGTTGGAGCTAGGACTTAAAAAAGTGACAGTGCAGTTTTAGATGCTCCATTGTCTGTCTCACTTAGTTTTTAGGACCAGTCAGGTATAGGGTGCCCAGATGCTTATTAGGACCCAAGACTCCTGAGCCCCGGTACTCACCTTCTGTTGGGGATGGTGATTAAGATAGATGACTGAGTGTCTCTTGTGTGCCTGCAGACACCCGGGACTACATCTGTGAATTCTGTGCTCGCTCTTTCCGCACTAGCAGCAACCTTGTCATCCACAGAAGAATCCACACAGGAGAGAAGCCCCTGCAGTGAGTGCCAGGGGCCATGGAGGGAGCTGGTATCTGGCAGCCAGGAAGTGGGCAGCAGAACCTCCAGGGAGGTGAAGGTGGACAAGGCTTCTGTCTCTGGCTGCAGGTGTGAGATATGTGGGTTCACTTGCCGTCAGAAGGCCTCTCTAAACTGGCACCGACGCAAGCATGCAGAAACTGCAGCTGCCCTGCGCTTCCCCTGTGAGTTCTGTGGCAAACGCTTTGAGAAGCCAGACAGTGTGGCAGCTCACTGCAGCAAAAGCCACCCAACCCTGCTCTCTGCACAGGAGTCACCTGGCTCTTTGGAGTCTAGTCCCAGCATCTCTGTGGCTGAACCCCTGCAATCTCCTGAGGGCACTAGCCTCTCTTCCTCTTTGGACTCTAATTCTGCCCTCTCAGCAGCCAGCTCTTCACAACCTGGGCTGCCAGATCTCAGGGATGCAGAGAAAAGTCAGATGGTGGTACCTAGGAGCTAGGTATTAAGAGTTAAGTTGAGAGTAGGGCACGACTGGGCTTCAGATACCTTGCTTTAGCATTCCTCAAGGAACAATAAATGGTATTTTATACAAATGTGGACAGAACAAATGCTTTGGTGTCACAGTTAAGAATCTGAGAATCTTTTGAAAATAGGATGTTAACTGTGCCAGAATGCAGCAGAAACTGATCCGCTCACATGCCCAATTTCTTTTGAGACCTTTCCTGTACAGTGTATCATCATCTGCCCTGGTCTCGGGGCAGGCTGCACCAGAAGGCATTTGCCTCTGGTTGGGCCCTGCAGTCTGACCTGGTATGTAGTACCAAGCCCTACAGAGAAACAGCTGTTCACAGTTAGAGTTAAGTTCATAGCTGAAGGTCTGCTAGTGAGGCCACAGTCCCTGGGGATTACCTGTGAAGGGTAATCTTGTTCCTGTATGCTTGCCCTGAAGTAGGTAGCTTCCCATGCCTTTTGGCTTTGCTTCAGGCTCACAGAATTGGAACCAGTTGACAATGGAATGACACTACTGAAACTACGAGCCAAAATAAATCTTTAAATTGATTTTCTCAGGCATTTTGTCACAGCAATGAAGAAACCACCACCAAAAGGGATGAGAACTTGGAACTCATTTTGACAGAGGGGTTCTTGGTGTCACAAACCCAAACAAGTAACAATTTCACCACCTATAAGCAGTCATTGACCAATTCCAGGCTTTACATCCTGCCCGTGCCCAGGACTCCAGGAAACTTGTTTCCCCGTGCCTTGAAGCTTCATCTGTAAATATTTTCTTTCACATGGTGTCACTGAGCTTTATGGACCCACACAGTCAGTCCTGGGCTGCATCCCAAGGCAAACAATTCTTACCTGGCTAGAGAAAACTGTCCTAAGAGCCATTTACTGGGAGAGGGGGAAATTACTTCTTTGTGTGTGCACATGTGCCATGGATGGTACATATGTGGGTTCAAGAGATCAAACTCAGCTTGTCAACTGGTGTTGAAACATTTTGTTGGGCCCTAAGAAGCATCTTGTAAAAGGACATATGGCTAGCCAGGCTGATGACTCTGCCTACTTTTACCTCTTCAAGGGAGTAACTTGTCACAAATTTTGGTCCTTAATGAAGGGAGCCATTTCAGTCCTCCATACTGCCTGTGTTTCACCTCTGCAACTACATGTCTCAAGCAAGAGAAAGCAGTAGAGAGAACAGATCGATAAGAAGCAAGAAATGTTCCCTGAAGACCCACACCAACAAGAGAGAGAGAATGGCAGCAACAGAGCACAAACACCTAGTCTATCTTGCATAGGGATGTGGTGTTGGTTCCCTGACTCCTAGCATTCAGAGTTGGGGAACAGAAGGATGGATGATGGAAGAGCTGGTGGGGATCTCAGTATAGAGACAAGGCAAGCTAGGTGAATACCTAGCAACAATGCAACAGCAGTAGGTCTGGCTTCCAACCATCTGAGCTGCCCTGTTCCTTGGGGCTCAATGTGTGTCCACCCATACCCGTCATGGGGTCCTCTTAGCAAGTTTCCTGAAATGGAGACACCAAGAGCCCTGGTTTTTCCTGTTGCATTGGCCCTGAGAGGGCAAGGGGAGGACTTACTGTCACCTCAGTGACTACAGTGGTAGTGGCAGTGGCTGCCATTGCAGCTGCTCGAGCACGTCTGTGGGACCGCTGGTGCTGTGACAGTGACCGGCCATGGCTAAAGAATTTGCCACATTCCGTGCACTCTGCTGTCCGCTCACCTAGGTGTGTCTTTCTGTGCAGTGCAAGTTTGGAGGCAACACTGAAGGACTTGCCACACTCTGGGCACTTGTGTGGTTTATGGCCAGCATGATTGCGCAAATGCACATTGAGGTTGGAGATGCAGGTGAATCGCTTGCCACACAGCTCACAGTGGTAAGGTTTTTCCCCCGTGTGTGTGCGCAGGTGTTTGGTGAGGTCTGAGCGGTCTGTGAAGCCCCGGCCGCACTCTGGGCATGGGAAGGGCCTCTCGCCAGTGTGGCTGCGCTGGTGCACCACAAGGTCATAGCGCTGTCCAAAGCCCTTGCCACAAGTGGGGCACACATGTGGCCGTTCACCCTGATGGCTGCGCTGGTGACGCAGTAGTGTGGAGCTCTCGCTAAAGCAGCGTCCACAGTCGTTACACGCATATGGCTTTTCCCCAGTGTGTGTTCGCTGGTGCCGTACCAGCGTGGCACTCTCCAAGAAGCCCTTGCCACACTCGGGGCACTTGAAAGGCTTCTCCCCTGAGTGCCTCTGGAGATGTCGTGTAAGCGTGGAACTCTTGCTGAAGTTCTTACCACACACACCACACTGGTGGGCCTCAGCGCCAGGGTCGCTGAGACTGAGGACCACGTGGATACGGGAGTGATTCCGTAGCCCAGCACTGCTACGGAAGGCCCGTGGGCACTGTGTACAGTGGTGGAGCGTGCTAGGGGAAGGGGCGGTGGCAGTGGTGGTCTCCGGGGGGTGTGCCCGTGCCAGGTGAAAAGGAAGAGCACTCTGCCGAAAGGAGCGGGCACACAGTGGGCAGCGGTGTGGCTTCTCCGGTGGGTGCTGACGGACCCGATGCAGCAGCAGTGCAGGGACGTGAGGGAAGCGGCGGCTACAGAGGCGGCAACGGCAGGTGTGGCTGCGCCTCCGGTGCGTCCCCAAGTGCAGGTCCAGCAGGCTGTTGTGACTGAAGCTCTGGCCGCACTCACTGCAGACGTAGAGGGTCTGGCCAGCATGGGTCCGCCTGTGCGCACGCAGATCTGAGGCTCGAGCACAACGTTCACCACACTCTAGACAGCGGAAACGCTTGTCACCACCATGGGCACGTTCGTGCCGCAGCAGCACTGCACTGTACCGAAAACTCTTGCCACATTCACTGCAGGAATAAGGTCTTCCCCCAACCGCTGCCATGCCAGGTGCTGTGAACATGATGCCTGCCTTTTCCAGTCAACAATCTGTGGTTTTAATACCTGGAAAGAACCAGAGGAAAAAGGCTGTGACTTTGAAAACTGGTCTGCAGATTCCTCGGTTTCTTCTCTAAAGAGCTGATGTCCCCTCTGTTCCAAAGGTAGGCAGGAACTGGACTCATCATTGTGATCCCTGCAGGGAGGTCACCCTAAGTCCAGCACTGGCAGCAACAACTCTGGCTGGGGACACAGAAAAGGCACCTTGAACTCTTTAGACCTGTAACATATTAGCTGGCCTAGCTCTCAAGAGAAGGAAGTTACTCTGAGTCCTAGAAATTCAGAGGGGTGTCTCTGTAGGGACTAGTAAGGCAAGAGTGGCAAATGACACTTGTCCAGTAAATAAGCATGTGTGGATTCCAAGGAGTATGGTGTGTGTGGGGTCTTTGCTAGAACTAGAAACACACAACATTGCTGGGGAGGCCAAGAGGGAAGTAAGTACTCAACCTATTTTCCAGTGTGACTGAAGCCCCTGGGGATTTCTCATTGCCTGGCATTCCTCCTTGGTCATTTTCTAATGCATCCCAGTGGGGATTCCCTAGCTACCAGAAAATAGGTCTGACACACTTGCTGATCCAGTGGGTGACATGGCTACACTGATCATACATCATACTGGTGTCGGGAATAGTGACAGATCCCAGGCCCCGAGGGAGAAGTCACTAGTAAAGTCAACCAGGTGAGAGACCAGTCAGCCTTTGTTTTTATAGGCACGGGACATCACACAACCTCTAGTAAGGTGTGCTCTTAGATCATTGAGAAAAAGCAAACAAAATGGCCAATAGTTATTCTCTTGTGGGAAATAGAAATATATCCTCAATACGCAGCATTGTTGGCTTGGCTGACTGGGCCTCTACTTCTGTAGGTAAGTGGAGTCAAGTGGATGAAATGCTTGGCCAACAAGAAGCCAGGGTGAATTCTACATCTGCTGCTCCTCCATGCTGGGTGGAGGATCACCATAGATATGTTCCTCTTGTGCGTTTTTTTTTTCCCTGAAGGAAGGACTTTTTTCCTTCTTCAATTTTTGAGGCAGGGTCAATCTATGTAGTTCTGGCTGTCCTGATATGTAGAACAGGCTGGCCTCAGACTTAAGAGATGCACCTGCCTGTTTCCCCAGTGCTGGGATTAAAAGAGCACATCACCACATCCAGCAGGAGGAAGGTATTTCTTAAATAGTTATTTTCAAATATCAAAACTGGGGTTGGAGAGATGGCTCAGAGGTTAAGAGCAGTGACTACTTTTCCAGAGGTTCTGAGTTCAATTCCCAGCAACCACATGGTGGCTCACAACCATCTTCAGGCCTGTAGGGACACATGCAGGAAGAACACTGTATACATAATAAATAAATCTTTTTTTTTTTTTTTTAAAAAAAGAACAATTCCCAGCACCCACATGGTGACTCACAACTAACTGTAGTGAGATCTGGTGCCCTCTTCTGGCATGCAGGTAGAGCACTGTATAAATAAATCTTAAAAAACAAAACCAAAACTGAGGAATAGTGCCATAGGTTATCATTTACTACTCATCTTACCTGTGATACACTTCACTTTTTATGTGTGTCTCCCCCGTCCTACCCCAATCTGGACTATTATAAACCCTAGATACCTTATTCAAAGATGACTTTTAAGTTCTGCAAAGCAGGGGCACCTTTGTAGCCACAAAGCAGACTTCAGAGTAGTTAACTCTGAATCCTCCAGGAAAAGCTTTGCTTCTATTTTTAATTTAAATATTTATCTTATTTTTACTTATGTCTGTGCGTCTCTGTGTAAGGATATGTGCATGAGAGTACAGGTACCCACAGACTACAGGACATCAGATCTTGTGGAAATGGAGTGACAGGTAGTTCTAAGTGGGTGCTAGAAACTGAACTTGGATCCCATGAAAAGAGCAGTATGTACTCTTAACTGCTGAGCCACCTCTCCAGCCCCTAATTTTATTTTTGATCCAGGGTCTCATGATGCCTTGGCTGGCCTTGAACTCACAGAGAACTGCCGGCTTCTACCTCCCAAATGCTGGTCATTTAAAGGAATAGTTGCCTTCATGAAACTAAAATCCAGTGACTGGTTTCAAATGTTCAAGAGCAACACTGACTCTGAGAGGCTGGCATCTCAGCCCATGCTTCTGCGAGCTCATCCTTTCCTGGGCCAGTGCTTCCCAGGGAACATGCCCAAGGAAAGTAACCCAAATGCACAACACATATAAATATATAAAAGGCAAATAAAAAATATTCCATCTCTTCAGTATAACAGACAGGAATGTAGGGTGAAAGCTGTTGCTTGGCCTCTTTACATCTCTTCCTTACCTCATCCCATTACATGAGCAAAGGTCTGTTCCTGGGGTAGAAATCTGTAAAAAAACATATTATAATGCTTAGAACTTAGAAATCATCCTAAATATCATTCATCTGAGAGTAAGTCTTACTTATTTACTTATTCAAATTTAGCTTCTTTATTGACTCTTTGGGAGTTTCACATTATGTACCCCAATTCTGCTCACCCCTCATATCCTTTCCTCGCCCCTGCCAGGCCCCCACAAAACAAAGCAAGCAAGCAAACAAACAAAAGCAAAACCAAAATTCTCCCCCAAAACCAAATCTCTTTGCTTCTCCTCCTTTTCAACATCTCTTCATTTGTCCCGGTGGCATTGGGGCTTCAGTGTGTCATCTATATACCCCTTTGTCCCATCAGTTTTACTACAAATGTTCACTGCAATGAGTCACTGGTCTGGTTCAAGACCTTTGGCTTCTGGTACACTGTCACCACTGGATCCTCAACAAAACCCCACTGGGATATCCATAGAGAAACAGGGTTGGGGCTGCAACCTGAGGCCTTGGTGGTGTCTGGTGGCCGTGTTGCTGCCCAAACCATTCCCACCTGAGTGGCCATTCCTTCTACCCAGAGCCAGGATGTTGTTCAGGCCCAGGCTACAGCTAGGAACTGTGTTGATGTCTGACCTGTGTCACCTCAGGAGACCTCAGGAACCATGCAAGATGAAATCAAAGGGCCATGCTGAGCCAGGCCCGCCCTCTGCTGGCCTTCCCTCTCACTGGTCACTACAGCAAGAGAGATGGCCCCTACCCCTCACCACAGGAAAAGCTGCCTTTCACATGTTGGATCCTTGGTTCCTTTTCCCCATGGGCTGTGGGCTTCTCCTGGACTCCCTCCTCAGGCTACTGCCACACTAGGTTAGCTGCTCTGGCACCAGCTCTGGCTTCTATTGTGGCAACTGCCACATACTCTCAGCTCACAATTACACACCAGCAGCTACAGCTGCCCTCAGTCAGGCTATGCACCGCTTGTGTTCTCCACCCAGGCATGCTACACACCTTCAGCCATCCTCACACTTCACTGCCATCATCATCAGATCTGATGAGACATCTGGGAATTCTTAAAGGGTGGAATTAAGATTTGAAAAAAAAAAAAAAAGGAAGCCGAGCAGTGGTGGCGCACGCCTCTAATCCTAGCACTTGGGAGGCAGAGGCAAGTGGATCTCTGTGAGTTTGAGGCCAGCCTGGTCTACAAGAGCTAGTTCCAGGACAGGCTCTAAAACTACAGCAAAACCCTGTCTTGAAAAACAAAAACAAAACAAAACAAAACAAAAAACAAAAAAAGAAGGGGGGAGAGAAGAGTTTAAAGAGCTTTTTTTCCCTACATGTTAAAAATGGGAAACATGATGCAGGTCTCTGTATAGTTCTATAATGAATGGTTTGAAAATTGAACAATTAAATGGATAAATCAACTTAGTTATAATTGACATAATGTCAATTATCAATTTGGTAATTCTTATTTTACCTCTAAAAAGTTATTTGATATTAGTGATAAATGCAAAAAAATTGACTGATGATAACATTCTTAGACAGACATACTAATAGAACTAAGAAAAATATTACACACAGAGGAGTTTACAGCAGAAGTTACCACACCATGGCATTATGAAACTGAAGGGGAGCAGCACAAGGCTATTAGACAACCAGACTTAATTTATCCAGTTAATTATTCAAGAGCAACCAGTGATAGGCATCCCCAAGGCTATTCACAAGTTAACTGGGAACCTATAGAAATGTTAGATTTGAAGAGAGTTAAGAAACCAATAGTTTCATATGGTATGCATTCACTTTTTGTGAAGCAGATGTTAAACTCTTGGTCCATTTGAAACAGAATCATTCCACAAGACTGGAAAGATTTAGTTACAACAGTATTGGAAGCTGGTCCTCAGTTACAGTGAAGAACCTGGTGGAGAGATGAAGCTGGGGCCATTGGAGAGCAAGGTAGAGATAGAAGTTATGAGATTTCCCAAGATCAAGGTTTTGGTGAGGGCTGTTATTCTGATGTGGAAAGACAGGTTATAGTTGATCACACCTTGTTCCTATGCTGTACAGCAGCTTTGAATGCTTAGGACAAGATTGAAGAATCAGGAAAGAGAACTGAGCCATTTACTAAAAGAATACAAGGCCCAAAAGAACCTTCACTGATTTTTTTTTTAACAAAGATTTACTTTATCTGTAAACAGAATGATATCAGATATAGAAGTTAGAAGAATATTAATTGAAAATGCTAATTCAGAACATAAAAGGATGATCAGGCCTTTGAAAGCAAGATCAGCACCCACAGAGGAATGGATTTAAAAACAGCTGATTTTGATATTAGATCTCACACTTGTGGTGATACTTGGATAGAAATGACTTCTAAAAATAAAGAAAAATCAAAAGGGTTCGATGTTTTAACTGTGGTAAACCAGGTCATCTGAAAAGAGATTACAGACAAGATGTTCCTAGGAACAATGTTTTGGTTTTTTTAAAAGAGAGAATCCAAACAGAAGGCCCCAGCCTTCTGGAATACACAGAAAGTGCGACAAAGGCTGACACTGGCCTAATGAATGCAGATCAACATGGGACAGGCAAGGTAACCCTTTGCCATTGGGAAACACCAGGAGGGGGGGCTCTCGCAAGTCCCATATTAAATTTAGTTCAGTCATTCCCTGTTAGTATTGGTGAAACTCCTCCACAGAGCAACTAAAAGACTTAATGCCTTTTATGGAAAACCATACTGCTCTGGATGACAGAATAGCTTTAGAAGATAAAACAAAATTTTCAAGGAGAAACCATAAAGCATATATTTTGGCAAACTTCTATAAATGATCAAAGACCAAAGTTAAAAATATGAATAAATGGCAGTGTAGCTGAGCGTTTGATAGACACAGGGGAGATGTAACAATAATTGCACCAAGGTCTTGGCATCAGAGTTGGCCTCTTTAGGAAGTAAACGTTCAGCTTTTAGAGATTAGAACTTTATTTTAAGTAAAACAAAGTATAAAATGGGCTGAATGTATAGGGCTGGAAGGACAGAGAGGAAAATAAAAGCCATATGGGGCTTACATGGCAATGAATTTATGTGAACATGACTTATTACAGGAATGAAATGCCCAGATTAACATTCCAATCTTAGGAACAAACCAAAAACTAACGTATGTTTCTGAGAAAAATATTAAAAGGCATTATAAAGAACAGGTTGTACATAAAAAGGGCACAACAGCTGCTGACCTTTCAAAGGGACAAACAACCCTACCTTAAAAATGGTTAACTGACAACCCTATCTGGGTGGAACAATGGCTTTTAATATCAGAAAAATTACAGGTCTCAGAATAGCTGGTACAGGAACAGCTAAATGCTCAACATACTGAGGAATCAACCAGTCCTTGAAATTCTCCTGTATTGTTATTAAAAAGAAATCTGGAAAATGGTACTAGATCTAAGAGTTATTATAAGGTGTTCAGCTAATGGGGCTAGAATTTCTTTGCCTTCTCTATTACCTAAAGGATTGTCTATTTATACTGATTGATTTAAAAGACTGTGTGTGTGTGTTTTTAACTATACCTTTGGAAGAACAGGATTGCCTTCACAGTGCCTACTTATAGTTCCTAGCATGTTAAAAGATATCAGTGAAAGATTCTTCCACAAGGAATGTTAAATAGCCCTACCTTGTATCAATATTTTGTACAGCAGCCATTGGAAATAATTCATAATCAGTTTCTTCAATCTATAATTTACCATTTTATGGATGATATCTTACTAGTTGATTCAGATGCAGATACCTTAGAGAAAATGTTCGAAGAAGTAAAAAAAAAAAACTTGCCTCATTGGGAATTATAAATTATTCCTGAAAAACCACAAGGAGATTCTATCAATTCTATCAAGGATATAGTATGGGTTTACAAAAAAGTTCAATCACAGAAAGTACAAATCAGGAGAGCTCAATTATGAACTTTCAATGATTTTCAAAAAATTCTGGGAGATATTAACTGGCTATGTCCCATAATTGGATTGACAACCCAAGAACTACATATTTATTTCTAAACTACAAAGCAATAAGGCCTTAAATAGTACAAGAAAATTATCAGCTGAGGCTGAGAGAACTGGCTTTGGAAGAAAAAAATTTGCAGAATGTACATGTGGATTGCCTGAATCCACTGCTTGATTGTACTCTGTTTATTTTACCTTCTATGCATTCTCCTACTGAGTTTCTAGTGAAGAAGATAATATATAAGAATGGATATTTTTACCACACAGTAAAAAATTAAAGAACTACATAGAAAAAGTTTCTGAGTTAATTCTGAAAGGAAAATTGAGACTTCATCAATTGGTAGGAATAGACCCAACAGAAATTGTGGGACCTTTTACTAATGCTGGAATTTCCTCATATTGAACAGAAAATGGATACTGGCAAAGAGTTTACAGGAATTTTTTGGGAAAGAGTAGTAATAAATATCCCCAAATCAAGAGACTTCCGTTTATAAAGACAACTCATTGGATCTTTCCTCACACTGTACAGAGAACACCAATTTCTGGAGCCCCTACATTCTGATGCAAACAAATCAGGAAAGTCAGGTTATAAGTCAGGAAATTTAAGTATCTGAAAGCCCTTATAATTCTGTTCAAAAGTCAGAATTATATGATCTTTTCATGGTATTAACTTTCCAGAACCTCTTAATATAATTACTGACTCAATATGTAAAAAGAGTTGTTTCACATACTCTTGTTTAAGATATTTTTGTATATTGATACAAATTTAAAGTTATTTTTGTTAGAAACTATTGTACCTATGTAAAACTCTATAAAGTTTTATACATATACAGCTCATTCAACAATGTAAATTTCTAGTCTTTGAAAATTATTATTACAAGCTATTCACTTATTACAAACTTGTAGTGATGTTAGGTATGTTTTCAAGGTCAAACAGATATATTTTAGGTAGATGGGTGGTCTTCAAACACTTCAGAGATCTACAGAATATGGCATTCAAGATGTTTTAATAACATGGTTCTTTAAATGACAGTAAGACACATCTGCTTCTGGCAACACCAATCTACTTCAGAGAAAATGATGGGGATCGAAAAAAACTCCAGATGGAGTTTATTTTCTTTGTGGCAAAAATTAGTCACTGGGCAAACAACTACCCTTGTTTTAACTGCTGGCAGTATGGTGTTCAAATTGAACAAGCAGGGCACAAAAGAAAGTGACTGCCGAATTTTGCCGAGACAAAGTAGGACAGTCCTTAAAAATCCCCGCATCACAGAAAACTCTGTCAGATGTCCTAGGTCTATAGGCTGAAGATGGATGCCCAAAGCTATAGAGGAACCTTGGGTGACTCTCCAGATATCCAACTGTTTCTGTCATTTCTTAGTTTTGGAAGTTGCTTGCTTGGCACTTTCTGTTTACTTCAGTAGTACTAAACCTCAGGTCTCTGATGGGAGTTGGAGATTAGATAGTTATAGCTATTGTTCTCCTTGTTACCAAGGAAAAGAAAAGAAACTCACAAAAGTGTGTAAAGATGAGAGCCATTAAAAGACAGTTTTTGTAATGCAAGTTAGAATAGAAAGTGAATTAGGTACAACCTTTTGGACTCATCAAAAGAGGACAGATAATGGAGGATTTTCTCTGAATTTGTCAAATGCAAATGGACTGGACATTGTTAATGTAATTTTCACATGTACATATTTGTATATAGTTATTATACGTATTGTATATACTTTTACTATGTTAGTTATAATTTTTCTTCTTTTTTTAGCAAAAAGGGGGAAATGTGTGATATTCTGATCACGTTCTGACAAAGCTTGTTGGGAGTCAGAGGCCTGAGCTAGTCACAGATGACCAAAAACAGAGGTTTTGGAGGACTGTAGAAAGATTGGATAGAAAAATACTAAGGTGGGATAGAGAGGGATCTCAGCCCTTTTGAAGGAAGGAGTGGAGCAGGTAGGAGAGGACTAGCAGCGTCTCTGATTCTCTGATTCTTCAGGTTCTTACCCAGTATCTGACTCCTGAATTCTTATTTATAAAAAATAATTAAGATAATGTTTCACCTAAGATTCAGTTACAATAATGTTAAGGCCCTGCCCAGGAAATGAAGCTCAAATGAGGGGACAGGAACTAGGAGAGGGAATGTGGACTGTGGTTCTCTCCAGGGAAAGTGACTCTTCTCTTGGATTCTTCCTACTTCTAGGAAGCTGAGAGACACTGTTGTCCTGCAGTGTCTGTGACCTTGACCTCTGAAATCAATTATCCATTTCTCACTGGATGGTTTATGGCCAGTGTGACATATTCAAGGAGCTGGCAGAAACAGGAGTGACAACTGCTGCCATCTCAAGAACCAAGTCTGATCATGATCCAAATACAAATCAAAAATTTTGCTTTTACAAAGATTGTGAATTCTGAGAAGGTTGGAAATTAGTATGTAAGTAGTTAAAAAACAGACACCAAGAGCTTATCCTCTGTCTCTCTAACAAATGGGCAAAATGAAGGCCAGATATCTCAGAACAGGGAGAACATGGCAGAAGCAATGAGCAGTCTCTTGCATCTTCTCTGGGACAACCAATGAATTGGACACAAATAACACACTCTAGGCTGTAAATAAAAAAAAAAGATAAAGATGTATAAACATGTGCCAATTAACAATGGGATGAGTCCAAAAAATGTGAGCTTGTCATTATGAATATCATAGAATTTACTTATACAAACTCAATGATGACATTACCAGGCGATCAAATCTTAAGGGATCATCAACATACAGGCTAAAATGCTATTTTGTGTCAAGTGGCTGTATTAGCCTAGTATCCAGCTCTTTCAAATCTGTTCTCTATAGTCCCATCCACCATACATATTATATATACTTTGCCTTAGACTGAGTTAGGATTGCAACCTGTAAAGTTCCCTGGCAAAGCCACACATATGTGGAGTGATTATGAAGACTTGGAATGTTGCAGATGGAGAGCCCAAATCATCTTGTGTTATATTTAGTCCTCTTAATAGTCATTTATCACCCACCTGACCTAAGATCCTTTATAATGCATCAATTTAGGAAACTATTATCTTTTACTAACTTAGAAGCAAAGTATGTCACCAGAGAGGAAGTAAAACCTATACCATGGGGGTGGAAAGATGGCTCAGTGATTTTAAGAATGCCTGCTCTTCTTGTAAAGGACCAAACTTTGGTTTCTTCTGAGCACCCACATAGGGTAGCTCACATGCCTTTAACTGCAGTTCCAGGGGACCCGATGCTTTCTTTTGACCTCCATGGGTGAGTTCATGCACATGCACACACACATACCCAAACATATAAAGTAAATCTTAAACCAAACCAAAATCAGTCTTCCCATACCTTTTGTTTGCAGATTTTTCTCACCGGCTACCTTTACTTTAGGTCATACTTTTTTTTTTTTTTTTTTTTTAGACAAGGTCTCACGTCAAGCTGTCCTCAAACTTGGTACCTGGATCATGGTGGCTAATAACATGACACAGGAACTCGTTTCTTAAGTTTTTTTTTTTTTTTTTTTAAAAACCAACTGTTACTCTGAGGCTGACTGGTAGGGGTGATAAATTTATCTTGGCTTCCCGCCCTTCCCACAAGACAGGGTTTCTCTGTGTAGCCCTGGCTGTCCTGAAACTCACTCTGTAGCCCAGACTGGCCTGTGACTCAAGAGATCCAGAGCGCTGGGATTAAAGGCATGTACCACCATCGCCCCGCCATCTTAATAGCCATTTATCTCTCACTTCTGTATCTAATGGCCTTTAAATCATCAGGTAAAGCCTTTGGAAGACATTAACGTATACCATTAGCTTCCACGAACCCGAAAGCTAAGACTATAATCACACAGCATCTAAGCCTTCCCGCAGGTATCTCCCCAACTCTGCTGTAGCCTTCTTACATCTCACATTACCTTTGGGGAGTTTCGTTTTTATGTTGACACACCTGCTCAGAGGGAAGAGAAAGGCAAGCATCCAAATTCTGGCTCTTCCGTGACTGATTGTGCGACCTTGAGCAGAGGACTTAGGCTACCTGTACCCGCAGCCTGGGCTAACTCAATACAGGAAACCGGGATCGTTTTCTATGAAAAGGGCAAGGTCAAAGCAGCCATAAACCTGAGATATGAAGTTGTGCGGCACTCGAGATTTACTCTCCAGAACCGCCCTTACTTAGGCGGACCCTGAATTCGGGGCTTAACTTACTGGCCGACAGCCTGCCAGGTCTTTCTGGCTTTCTCGCTCGGCCGCAAGAATCCTTTCCCACCGCGGAGGCGCATGCGGGCCTGTCTGAGCCACGGGCGGGTGCCGGCGCCCCCGAGAGACGCGAAAGTGCGGGGCGCGCGGCCCCCGCTTTCTCGGGTCCCCTGGGGCCGTCACCACAGGCCGGAGGCTGTCGTCTCCCCGTGACTCGCTCCGTCGGGCGCACGACTTTGCGGACGCGCGGCCGGACAGCAC